GATGAAACTAGAACGCAGTTCACCCCACTAGCACCGAGAGTCCCCTGCTCTTCTCACTAGATCACACTCCCTCCTAGAGACCTGGGAGAGGAACCCTGGAATCTTGAGTAACAACCCTATTCTGTTTCCGGCTCAGCCTTTGCCAGAGTCAAGCTAAGGGCCAGAGACATTCATCTGATGAATTCTGTTGCATATCCTGTTACCTGTGGTGGGGTTTCCAGCCTTCGCAGAGAGCTTCCCATGCCAAAGTGCTGCAGACAATCCAGGAGCAAGATCACTCGCTGTTAATAATTAACTCCGCTGAGACACTTTGCCTGCCCCTGAAGCTGGCTTCGGGAGGTGAGGGGTTACAGTCACCTGGAGGAGATAATCCATCAGCTAATTGGGAAGGTCAGCATACTAAGAACAAACTAACAAGAGTTGATGCTGCATCCACAAACAGCAGGGCTTTCGGGTCAGTGCTGCCAGGCGGAAGCTTTGGTGAGACAAGACCATGAGCTCCCTGACTAGTTTGGAGAGAGTGCAGGCAAAACAACTGCCTGCTGTCAAGCAGCAGAATTTGGGTCCAGATCTGTCCCTTCAGTACCCAGAGTTCTGGGGCTTTGCTTTGGCCCTTTAGAAAACTGGGATCTGGGTCCAGATTTCAAACTGCAGGTGTCTCAGACCCAGGGGTTGGAGTCAGCCGCAGCTCCAATGCTTTAGTTATAGCTGATGAGGTTTTCAGGGGATTTGATGAAAAAGTTTTTAGGAAACAGTTTGCCTGAGAAGCAAAAGATCCTGGAATCTTCTCTAAGGTTGCATCTCTGGCCAGGGAGAGCCCTGAAGGCACTGCATGCCTCACCTTCTTTTTCCCCTCTAGTTCAGACCTGTAAAGGCTAGTTGTCCTCTGTGCTGTATAAACTGTATCAACGCTATTTTAGAGGGAGCTCACTGCCACGCCTCTCCCAGTTTCTCCCAGCAGGAGGCACCATAGAGAACAGGTACAAGAGAGCTGACCATGGGCAAGTTCACAGCCTCTGCAGTTCCACCTTCCATTTGGAAGCACCTGGTGAAGATGAGTGTTCTGCTGGGCACCAGCTGGGCATTCCCTGGCCAGGGCTGCCTCTCTGCCTTGTTCTGATGCCAGCTCTTCCCTCCTTTAGCAAAGCAGCAAAGGGTTAAGTGGCTTGGCCAGCTCACGTGATTCTCCGGGGATGTCGTTTTTCAGAAGATCAGAAGGGATTAGGTTGAAATATCAGGACGAGAATTTCCTGTTGCTCGGCTCCCCCTGTCCCTCATCCTCCCCAACAACAACCGCAATCCAGCCTCCTATCCTCCTCCAGCCTCCCCTCATGTGCCACTCAGTCCAGCAGGGATGTGCAGCAGGGCATGAACAAATCTGGGTAAGGGGATGATTCTTCTGCTAAGCAGTCCATGGGTTATTTCCTCCTCGTTGCCCAGAGCTTTGCGTGGGCTATTCATAGATCATTCAGGATCTGCAACGGGGATGTCTTTCCAGATAGCAAACCCTTGGAATGGAGCAGGGCTCCTCTTGAGAGTACAGATTTAAGTACGGTGCAGAGGGTGGCATGGAGTAGTTATAATGGATGGAGGGGATGCACATAACCTAGTGCTGCTGGTATCTGAATGTACTGGAGGACAGAGGGAGCCGTTAGGTGGTGGGCATTATCCCGCCCCTGCTGAGATATGAAGAAGACTCCAGCCACTTCTGAAATCTCTCTTGCTGGGTTTTATTCTCCCTCTGTTTAAATGCAGCCAGGATCTGAATGCAGAAGGGAAGGGTGGCGTAGCTGGGACCAGGGGAGGTCAGGAGGGCGCCTCATCCCATCCCATCCCTCTGCAGTGGTTTCTAGTACAGACACCTCCCATTTTAGAATATATTGACTTTAATAACATTGCTCAACCGCTCGTGTGACCGGAGACTGTGACAGCAGCAGCGAGACACCAAGCTGCCCAGCTCTTGCTCTCTGCATGTGATAGACTTACACGCAGGGCTGCAAGGGGGCTGAGCTGGCCCTGAACTCGTCCCAAGGTCAGGGCAGGGTCTTGCTTCTGGACTAGTGTCAGAGAGGCCAAAGAATGGGTGGACATATAGATTCCTCTCCCATGCCAGGAGAGGAGCCCTTTAATACAGGAGTGTGGTCTAAAAGGGCCTGTCTCTATGGCTGTATGATGAAGCTAGCCTAGTGCACACCCCCAGTGTACGTGGGCTGCACCAGTGTAATATGGAACTTGTACCAGTCCGACTTACTTACTTATGGTTTATCTTAGTCCAGTATGTTAAGGGTTATTTACTTCACAATATACACACTCAAGGACTATGCTAGACTCTCTGGGAGCTACTGCATTCCCATGGCTTTCAAAGACCTGGGAACTTGCAAAATAAGTGACATTGTTTCAAATGGCTGAGTCTGAAGCTAGAGATGTGGAAAGAAATGGCTTTTCTGACCTGTTCAGAGGAGAGAACTGGCTGTTGAGCCGGTCAAGCAGCTGTTTTGATCTCTGTCAGTCCACGCACACCTTGTCTTTGCTTTAATAAATGCTGAGTGGTTTTGGTGTACAAAATCCAAGTGAGCTCTTTGTGATTTCAGTACGTGGCTGCCGGGTTCAGGGCTATCCTAGGAAAAGAGGGTGTAGTAAAGATGAGTATTTTTAAGATCATGAATTCAGCATTCCAAAGCTCATTGTTGGCCCTGGCTAAATTGGGGACTTACACCCTACCTGGCAAAATTCCCTTTTCCGTTTCAACTGGCTGCAGTGCTTTTCATTCCCCTCTCCCCCACCCAAAACCCAAACTTTTCTGCAGTGTTAATGTAGTCTGTTAAGTGGCTGTTACATTCCCCCCCAGAAATGGCCACCTTTTATGTATGGAACAGCCTCCCTGACTGACCTGTAGGAGCACTATTCTCTCCTCTTTCAAATCCCTCTAGGTCTTGATACCTTGATACCTGTGAGAAACCAGCCAATTAATGATGGCTGGCAGGGTAGGCAGGATTAGCTGCCACCGCCTTTCTTCATAATTATTTCTAAAAATGACAAATGTATTCTTAAAAATTGGTCTCTATTTGATTGGGTCCTTCTCCCTCATCCTTCATATGTCACTTGGCTTCTCAGATTGTAAACTCTTTGGGGCAGGGTGTGACGTTGTGCAGTCTATATGGTTTTATAAAAATATAAGTGAATGTAAGGTAATTGGGATATGCTTCATGCAAAAGGTCTATTGTAAGGTATCATTACAAAGCTCATAATCTACTGAGTGTGATCATCCTATTTGTAGAAATGTACCACTCTTGTATCTAAAACTAGAAATATAAAACATAACTCTGAGGGCCTATTGTAATTATGTAAAGTGTGGGCCATTAATGATGGTTTGGAATCTTAATGACTCCCATTAACAAGAACCATTGTCTGCAGATGACTGTGTTTACCTGTGAGTCTTCCTGTATATGTGTGTGCTGGCAAGTGAGTAATGAAGTCTTGCAGTGACATGTGATCATGTCACCTGAACTGGAATCCATCTTTAACCTGGTGCTTTTCCAGTGAGGGGGGGTGAAAACCCAGAGGGACAAAGAGTTCCCGCCTTATGCAAAAGATATATAAAGGGGTGGAAGAGAACAGAGAGGGAGAGGAGCCATCATGGAGAAGCCCCTAGCTAACACCTAAGCTGGAACAAGAGCTGTACCAGGGGAAAGAATTGTGCCCAGGCCTGGAAGGTGTCCAGTCTGAGAAAAACTTACTGAAGCATCTCTGAGGGTGAGATTATCTGTATTTAGTTTGATTAGGCATAGATTTGCGCATTTTATTTTATTTTGCTTGTGACTTACTTTGTTTTGTCTGTTACTACTTGGAACCACTTAAATCCTACTGTCTGTATTTAATAAAATCACTTTTTATTTAGTAATTTACTCAGAGTATGTATTAATACCTGGGGGAGCAAACAGCTGTGCATATCTCTCTATCAGTGTTATAGAGGGCGAACAATTTATGAGTTTGCCCTGCATAAGCTTTATGCAGGGTAAAACGGATTTATCTGGGTTTAGACCCCATTGGGAGTTGGGCATCTGAGTGCTAAAGACAAGCACACTCCTGTGAGCTGTTTTTGGGTAAACTTGCAGTTTTGGGACAAGTAATTCAGACCCTGGGTCTGTGTTGAAGGGAACTGGAGTGTCTAATTCAGCAAGACGGGGTGCTGGAGTCCTGAGCTGGCAGGGAAAACAGAAGCAGGGGTAGTCTTGGCACATCGGGTGGCAGCTCCCAAGGGGGTTTCTGTGATCCAACCCGTCACAGTGGCGTAGTTGAGCAGGATCTGTGCACAGCGTCACACAGGGACCATCACTTTGCTTTGTGTACAGCATCTAGTACATCTAGGCAGTGTGGCCTAGTGGATATAGCATTGGACTAGGACTTGGATTCTATTCCTGGCTGTCTGGGTGACCTTAGGCAAGTCACTTTCCCACTCTGTGCCTCAGTTTGCCCATCTGTAAAATGGGGTAGTGATAGTGACCTCCTCCTCTCTCCTTTGAGATCTACTGACAAAAAGTGCCATATAGGAGCTGAGTATTATTACAACAAGCTCAGTGGGGTTTCTGTGAGTTACTGTAATCGAATTATTGCATGATGATAATTTCTCTTGTGGGCAAAATGATTCCTGTGAGGTGAGGTTTGGAAAAGCGGAGTTGGGCTTTTCCCTCTAAACTTGTTTTTTATGGAAAAATTGACTTTTAATCCAATTTGTTGTGTGTGTGGAAAAGTTGAGTTTCACTAGAAATTTTCAGGAAAAAAACCTGAACATTTTTACCCAAGACCAAATATTTTACAGGGTTGGTTTATTTATATATTGTTTAAAAGGCAGAGATCAGTTTTCTGTTGTTTTTTTTAACTGGAAAATTTTCAGCGGGGGCGCCCTCTAACGGGCTTTGGCAAAGTCTGGCAGCAGCTGGCAGGGCTGGGCTCTGAATGATGCATTCTCCCCTGCTGACCCTTGTCATTCCTCCGACCAGTGCATGAGGTCTGGTGCTTCCCGGAGAGCGGCTGAGCGTGTGCATTAAATCCTGAGGAACGGGAACCATGTCGGGCTCCTATGATGAGTCTGCGGCGGCTGCGGAGGAAATAACCGACAGCTTCTGGGAGGTGAGTTCCCCCCGAGACCCCCTGAGAGACATTGAGCAAGCAGGGAGGAGCAACAGATTGTACCTGATGCCTCCCCTGGTGCCTGGGTGGGCTCTGCTGGTGGAATAGCCAGGTGCTCCCACAGCCCTGGAGGGTGGCATCTCTGCTCGCTAGGGTTTGCTCTGCACTCTTTTCTGAGCAAACTCTCGCCACTAGAGGGCGCCATCGGCCTCCTCAAGCAGCCACGTTCGCAAACCGAGGTGGCAAAACTATACAAATGGGAAGCTCCCCCTGCTGGCTGGGCCCAGCAGAGACCCTCATCCGCAACACCTGACCATCCCTGCAAGAGGCTGAACTCCCCATGATCGTCAGAGCCAGGGACAACCCCGGCGGCTTGACATCTCGCTGGAACCCAGTCTCCTGCCCAAGGCGGCGCGAGCTGTCGCGGAGCATCGAATGCCGGCTGCGTTCAAATTGCAGATGCAGTCGCTGCGCTCTCAGGGCCTGAACAGCAGAAGCACTGTGTGTTCCCAGCTCAGCCGTCGTCAGTGCTCAGCCGTTCAGTCGGGGCTCGGCACGCGCTGTAGGGTGCCTAGAGAACTCCGTGACCTTGCACGGGGGAATGAGTTGTGGAGAGAATGTGGTGTTCTTTCTGTCTTTTGAATGTGACTCTCTGAAATGTAGCCTTGCAGCGCACGGGCCTCTCCTCTCAGGAGAGCAGCGTTTCAGACCTGTCGCAAGTTACACGTGAAAAGAAATCACCTGGTTTTGTCCTAGTCCCATCCAGCCACAGCGTGAGACAACAGCAGAATTAAAATAGACCCGCTTCAGCCTCCAACCTCTCACCCGCCCTCCCCTCCTCTCCTGAGCCAGTCTAGCACTACTCACTCCAGAAATGGCTGATTTCACCCCCAATCCTCTCCTCCCCCCCGTTCGATTTGGCCTGGTGCCGGCGCTCACCATTCCCTCCTGTCTCCAGAGTGGGCATGGCTTGGCCAGAGCCATTGTTCCCAGCCAGCTGTCCATCTCTCCGGTAGGTGGGGAACTACAAACGGACAGTGAAACGGATCGACGACGGGCACCGGCTCTGCAATGACCTCATGAACTGTGTCCACGAGCGGGCCAAGATCGAGAAGGCCTACGCCCAGCAGCTGACTGACTGGTCCAAGAGGTGGAGGCAGCTGATCGAGAAAGGTATCACGACCCTGCCTCTGTCCACAGCCCTTCACGGTGTGAGGGCACTGCAGCATTCACCCCACCAGGGAGAAACCCCAGAATGGGCCCTTGGTGACGGAGCTCGTACATTTCCCCCTGAGAATTCTTTAAATCTATATTTTGATGTCCTCTAATAACTAGATCGAGTTGGCTGGTAGTGCATGCCCCACTGCCCTCTTCTGGATGGAATCAGAACTGCTCGATTGTGTGGCATAGGTCCTGCACTGCTAATGGAGATTCTCCTCTTGCTCGTGTGGCAGGGGCCTGTTTTTTTGGAGCTGGAGGATCTCAATTCTCTCCCCACCCCCTGTTGCTGTGAAGTCCCATCAGGTAACAACTGTTGGCTTCCTGCCTGGCCCTGAATTATCCAATTCAGCAGGCTGTCCAAATTCAAAGAATTGACTTGTTTGGTTTTAACCCCACCAGTCTCCCAGTCAGCAGTCAGAAATATGCCAGACAGGGGCATTTCAGCCCTCTCAAGGGGCAGCAGCATGGCATATGGGTTAGAACCAGGGACAAGGAAACAGGACTCCTGGGTTCCATTCCTGACTTGACCCCTGACTTGCTGCGCTTCCTTGAACAAGTCACCCCCCTCCACACGCTCTGTGCCTCAGTTTCCCCAGCCACGAAATGGGCACTTTGCGGGTCTCACGGACAGGAGCCACTAGAGAAGGGCCGGGCATTGCCATGACGTCGATTGCTTACCTCAGCCCCGTCCCGCAGGCCCGCAGTACGGCAGCTTGGAGAGGGCGTGGGGAGCCATGATGACAGAGGCGGACAAGGTGAGCGAGCTGCATCAGGATGTGAAGAACAGCCTGCTGAACGAGGACTTTGAGAAGGTGAAGAACTGGCAGAAGGACGCCTACCACAAGCAGATCATGGGAGGCTTCAAGGAGGCCAAGGAGGCAGACGACGGCTTCCGGAAAGCGCAGAAACCCTGGGCCAAGAAAATGAAGGAGGTAGGAGACAGGGCAGGGTGGAGCGGGCCTGCTGACCGAGAGGTGAACCACTGAGAGCCTCACGAGATCAGGGAGGAAAGAGCCCACCTACTGTACCCACAGTGCACTGGGATGGGGGCCAGGTGCCCAAGCCACTCACACAGGCACCAGAACATGTGGTGGGGTGGGGGAGAAGGTGCGGCTGTATGGCCAGAGGTATTGGTTGTACCTTGGGAGCAGTTAGGAGGAAGATGCCTGTTGTAACCACAGAGGCACCAGTCACAGCTTGCAGAGGGTGTGGGGGGCATAGTGTCCAAAGGATCCCCATCTTTGGTGAGGCACCAGGTACCTGATGTGCCATTGGGAGAACCAGTCATTCCTCAAGGAGCGGCAAACAGGTGCCTGTTTTGCCCATGGAGTTCCCCATTCAACACCTCTTGCGCTATGCCTGGGACAATAATAACGAGTACCTGCCCGTTCTTCTGCCACCGACCCCAGAGGAACTCGGTTCCGAACACACCATTGCCCTTGGGCGAAGGTGGAATGAGACAAAACCATGCCCAAGTCTCCGTTCGCAGGGACGGGGAGACACAGCACAAAGGCAGGGTGGAAGTCCAATTGCAGCGCAGAGATGTTTAGGGGAAGGGATAAGGGTTATGGGTAGAACATCTGCAAACATCTGTCCTGGGTTCCTTCCCTCCCTCACCCCACCTCCCGGCAACAGGTGGAGACGGCCAAGAAAGCATATCACCTGGCATGCAAAGAGGAGAAGCTGGCAATGACCCGGGAAGCCAACAGCAAGGCAGAGCAGTCCATCACTGCAGACCAGCAGAAGAAGCTCCAGGACAAGGTGGAAAAGTGCAAGCAAGATGTGCAAAAGGTGCGAGCTGCTGCCCTGGAGGGAAGGGGGAGGGTGGCCAGACACATGCCCAGCTCCCTACAGGTCCGTGGTGAGTCATGCTGGCAGAGCAGCCTGCGGGAAGCTTGCCCTGCTGCCAGGGCTCTGTGGATACACAGCTCCAGTCTCCAGGGCAGCCAGGACACCATGCACTGGCACTTAGAACCAGGAGATATGGGAGAACCCCACTCTGTCTCCTCCAGGAAGGGACCTTACCAGGTTACCAGAGGCTATTGGCCTTTTTCGTCCTTGAAAGAGGGGCTCTGGTGATATAGCTGCTTCTCCCATCTCCCCTTCCACAAAGGATCTCAGCCCCTGAGCCAACCCCAAACAACTGTAGTCTGGGTGCAGCAGGTCCAGCTGGTGGGGCTGCAAGTGCAGCAGAAGCAACAGTTAGGGGAGAGAAGGCCCGTTCCCCTGCTGGTATAAAGCAGCATCACTCCAATGGAGTCAGACCCTCACCCAGTGTAAATTAGTGTCTCTCCAGGGGAGTCAGGTCCCCATCTGGTATAAATCACAGCTCCATTGACTTCAGGGCTGGCTGATTTGTCCCAGCTGAAGGCCAGGTTCCCTGCCCTCACAAAAATGAAGATGGGTTCATCACAAGCTGGACATGGGGTGGGGAGAGGCTCTGTCAGGGCCCAGGCAAGGAGCTCTGGGGGCCTGGGCTTTAACCTTGGCCCCGGGTTGTGCCCGCAGACCCAAGAGAAGTATGAGAAGGTGCTGGAGGAGCTGAACAAGTGCACCCCGCAGTACATGGAGAGCATGGAGCAGGTGTTCGAGCAGTGCCAGCAGTTTGAGGAGAAGAGGCTCATCTTCCTGAAGGAGGTGCTGTTGGACATCAAGCGGCACCTGAACCTGGCTGAGAGCAGCAGGTAACCACGCCCACAGGGATGGTGGGGCAGGACGGGAGAGCGAGAGCAGCAGCATATAGGAACTACAGGGATCTCCAGTGACTTGACTGGCCGGGCTGCCATGAACCAGGCCCCAGAGGATGCTGGATGAGCCCAAGTACCCAGCAGAGGCTCCCAAAGGCCAGTCAGACCCAGTCACTCTAAGGGCAGATGGAGGGCACAGGGCTGGAAGCAGCGGCTCCAGCCGCATCTAGGGATATCCCTGGCTGAATGGCCATGCCAGGCGGATTTGTGCAGAGGCCTGGCTCCCTCCTGTGGCCAGCAGGAGGAATGCCAGTTCTGAGTTCTCTTGGGAGTCCCGCTTGCCCCGTAGTTCCAATCTGTCCTCCCATAACCGCCCCCGACCACCGCCTTCTCTGCCAGTAAGTGTCCGCAGCCCTTCCCCGGCTCATCTCGAAGGAGCTTCAGTCGTCCGTGAGCGCAGGGGGGCACCCGGGGTTCCTCACTTCTGCTTTGCTTGTGACCTCCCTCAGCTACACCAACGTCTACCGCGAGCTGGAGCAAACCATCCGCGTGGCAGACGCTCAGGAGGACCTCAGGTGGTTCCGCAGCACTAACGGCCCGGGGATGCCTATGAACTGGCCCCAGTTTGAGGTGAGGCTCCCACCCGCCCTGCTCCGGAGGTGGCTGCCGTAAATGGGGAGGGGACAGGGTGGGGTTTGCACTGGGCATGGGGAGGGGAACAAGGCAGGCAGGCGGGTGAAGAGAGCCCGGCAGGTGCACAGGGGCACGTGTTGCTTTGTGTCTCCAGGAGTGGAACCCGGACCTCACGCACACGATAACAAGGCGAGAGAAGATTAAGAAGAATGAAGGGGTGACCCTGACCAACGCCACTGCAGTGGGCGAATCAGCAGCAGTGGCCGGGGACCGCGGCAGGTGACAGCGCCCAAGCTACGAGAGGGGGCCCTCCAATTTCCAGTCCACAGGGAGGGCTGGGGAGGGCTGCAGAGACACAGTGGAGGTGGGGGGCGGTGAGCAGGAACATACATCTGTTATTCTTTGTTTAGAAGCCCTCTCGTGCAATTTCGTTTCACTGTGGGCAGTTCCCGGGGGATACGCTGTGATACGGCAGAGGGGACGCGGTCGCGT